CATGCAAACAAAAAAAATATTAAAAAAAAACACGCTACGCTTAGTAGATGACGTTGGCGTTTGTGTTGCGTCGACGTTGCCGCGGACGTCGCTTTTGCTGTTGCCGTTGCCGTCGGCGTGTTGACCGTGACGCCGACATTTTGTTCTTCTCGTTTTAAATAGAAACAGAAATATAAACAACAAAAACAAAAAGAAAAAATTAAATTAACACAAAACTGTTGACAAACTTGGAAGAAGGGAGCCGAAAGCACAACAAATAAAACTGTACAGTGTTGTACCACCTTCTCCTCCCACTGCTCATGCTCTCTTTCTGTCGCTCTCTCGCCCTCGCGCTCTCTATATTAAGAACAAACACGCTGCTTGTGACAACATGTGGCTAAGCTTTAGCTTATGTCATAGACGTCGCTGTCTACGCCAACGCCAACGCCAACGTCGCTGCTAACGCTGCGCACGACGAACAGCAGCACTAACATCAAAGCACAGCAAAGCAAAGCACCTTGACAAAGGGGCGGCGGTCGCGGCGCTGTCATCATAGCTGATATGCGCAATAACCTGGAGAATATGCGCACGCATACACACACAGAGCACGTGTATCCGTGTATGTTATTACATAGCCAAATAACTAGAACTAATAATGTGCATATAACAGTTGTTAGTTAACGGGCCACTGCGGAAATGGTACCGCCAATTCCAATTGGAAAGCACGTAAGGGCAATAGGAAGCATAGGGGTACTCTTGCTACAAGCATCAAATATAATTAATTCGATAAAGCGATAAATATCTATTGTATCTATGCATTCAACTTTAACATATGGAGAACCACACAAACGAGATAAAAATCATAATTCACCAATTGCGAATAATCCACTCCAACAAGTGGAAATGGGTGTTCCAGGTAGAACGAAAAAGAATAAACTTATGTATAACATATAATGTACATGTAAAATCCCACATAAAAGTTTTAGCAAATTTGAACCTCTGAGGCGCTTTCCGAGGTGTTATTGGTGGTTATGATGCTGGGGACTCTGTTCGAAGATTAGTTCAATTGAACTAAGTCTGAACTTGAACTATCATGAACTCGGTACGAATATATAGCAAAGTCCCGTTTTTCGAGCAAATCTCGAATCTTTTAAGAGCTAGAGGCACCAAATTTTGTGTGCAGACTCTCGTATAGACATTTTTGGAGATAGAATCGTGGTCTTCGATATATGCGCACATTTGTATGCCATACTGATATTTTCAAGGCAGCTCGACGCTGTGTTCAGGGGATAACTCCTAGTTCCGAGTAGAACGCCCTTGTTCATTTCAATTAGTTTTAAAGAGTTCTTGAGATATTTCGTATCTGAGCTATATTTATATTCCGTATATATTTGTATTTAATAGTTATTTGAACGATGCCCAGAAGAAAAGCTGTTTGGGACAGCTTAACAAAGGGTTGTACATATATGTATATAGGTATATATGTATATATGCATGTTATATACGTTTATATGCGCACAAAGATAAAATAGTTGGGGGTTTTGTGGTTATGCTGGTTACAGCACCAGGATTGGTGTCAATAGATTTGGTGGTGTCTCGCGGTGGTTGCTGCTGTTCCTGTTCATTTTACTGCTGCTGCTGCCGCTGCTGCTGCCGCTGCTGCTGGTGGTGGTGGTTGTGACTTTTCCGAGTGCCATCAGAAATATTCATTTATGCAACATTCGAACTGTTTTCTTAGTTTGCACTTCCAAGAAGCAAGCGCTACGCGGGGAATGGGAATGGGACTCGACTGTGACTCGGGTGGATGGTACGCAGTAAGCTTGTGCAGCGAAAGGCTTTACGGGCTGGTGGTGGGTCTGGTCTGGCCAGGCCACGTTATCAGGGCCGCTCGCTGGTTGCCCCAAATGCGGGGGGACACCCCCTGCAGGCAGGCTGGTGTATCGCTTGCTTTCATGGCTTCTGCGGGTTAAGGAACATCTGATATTTCGGTGGTCGTAGAACTTTCAGCAAACAAAGGAGAGCCCGGCTCGGCGCCCTAGCCCACAACTCATCAGCCCCAATGGGGGCGGCGGCTGCGGTGGCTGCGACGTCGCGCGCGGCGATAAGCGCAGCCAGCGAAAGCAACAATTTTGATTGCAGCCAAGAACAAAGAGCCAAGAGCAGCGCAGCAGCGCAGCAGCCGCAGCATCAACGCCTCACAAAAAAGGAGGAAAACAAGTAGGAGTGCCCGGCTAGCAGATACCCTGCATATCGCAAATGTGACAACCAAATGTGTGTAAATACCAAAACACAAGAACTGCCCAGCAAAAATGGAAGGCGTGAGCTGTCCAACGAGTGAAGAGTTCTCTCTCTCTCTCTCTCTCTCTCTCTCTCTCTCTCTCTCTCTCTCTCTCTCTCTCTCTCTCCCTCTCCCTCTCCCTCTCCCTCTCCCTCTCCCTCTCCCTCTCCCTCTCCCTCTCCCTCTCCCTCTCCCTCTCCCTCTCCCTCTCCCTCTCTCTCTCTCTCTCTCTCTCTCTGCACTGAATTTGTTATCTCCACTTCGAGATATGCTCAAAAAACAAGGTGATTGATATCGATTTCATGGAAACGGGGCAAGGTATGAATGACTCGAATTTGAAATTGATTTTTCGTGAGTTCATGCAGACGGACCGACAGACACTGGACGGACTGGGCCAGATGTATCCCGTATACCAATTTACGGCTAATAAATTAATAGAGAGCACGAACAGGAGCAGGAGATACCATGTCCAGTTACAATTTTCCCTAACATACTTCTTCCCTTCCTTTCCACAGTTATGTTTACACACTTATGTACAGTTGAGAAGAAGAAAGACCTTTTTGGTACTTTACAGGCATAAAGACGACACTCACATGTATACCACATACACGCATACCAAAAATAAATCGAAAATCGATTGTAGATTTGTGGCAAATCCAGAAAACTATCGAGATCGATAATTAATGCATATTTGTATATATTTTACATGCAACTGCAGCTCAGCAGCTCTCAATTACAGGGTACAACAAGAGAAATGCAATCAAATCTCCACATGGCAAAGACATATGTGACTGCGCAGTCGGCGTCAGCTGCGGGCAGCGGGCAGCGGGAAGCGGCTATTTTAAAGCAAAGAGAAAAACGAAAAATAGCAGCAGCAGCAACAACAACAGCAACTTCAAGTGGAAACAAAACGGAGCGTGTGAATGACATTGTTGTTGTTGTTGTTGTTGCCGTGGCAAGCGGCAAAAAGCAGATGCAACAACTGAACAGGCAGCAAAAGCAGAAACCGAAAAAACAACAAAATTTACAACAAAATTCTTATCAGTGAACTTTTTTATATTACATTTTGTTTTTGCAGCATGACGCAAAGTGAAAGGCGCAGCCCTGGCGGAGGCAGCAAAAAGGCAACAAAGCAATTGCTGCATTTAAAAATAAAAAAAGTTTCAAGTCTTCGCCCTGCACCGAGTACAGTTGTTCAAGCAGTGTTTAAATATATACAAAAGAAAAGAAAAAGAGTTAAGAATTCAGGCTCAACATGAATGTGTTCATATGAAACAGTATTCACCACATTTAGATTCCGTTTTAAACTGTATTCACCACATTTAGATTCCGTTTTGTGGAAACCCTTAAAATGCACATGTTCACTTTTCCCACTGCACAAATGCAGCGCTGTTTACTGTTAACCTGCAGCAGCAGCCGCGCTGCATACGCATACACACAGCGCGTCGACGTCGTGCTGAGAGAGGCAGCGAGAGAGAGAGAGAGAGAGAGAGAGAGGAATGGTGAGAGGCAGCGCGTTGCTTGGTGCTTGCAAAGGGCCTAAAAAACAAGCCGTGTTCGTTTTTTTTTATTATTATTTTTCTCCTTGTTTCTTTTTTCATTTCTCTTTTTCGTTCGCTTGTTTCGCTTCTGGCGAAGCCGGCAAGCGTCGCCGCCGCTGCGAGCAGCGCAGCTGCAATGCAACTAGTTGGAGCGCCGACGTCAGCAGCGCTGCGCGTATTTTGTAATTTTATTTTCGTAATAAAATAGCATGAGAAATGTTCTTTTTTTCAATTTTTATATACCCTATACTCACAGGTGAACAGCGGGTATCTTGTTTAGTCACTTGGACAAATATTGTAGGGCTTGACCCTCGCTCTCACAACTGCGCTCTCTCGCTCACTCTTGTGCGACTTGATCTCACTTTCTAACTCTCTTTTGCTGTAACTCTTCGGATTTAGAGTTTAACTTTGTAACAAATGATAGCAAAACACTAAACATAGCAACATTAAAACGTGCTCTCTCGTTCTCTCTTTCTCTCTCTCTCTCTCTCACACACACACAACACACACGCACACAGAAAATACCTCACAACAAAGCATAACAAAGGCCGCACAGCGAAGCACACGCACACAACCAAACGTTAACATAAAACGATAATCAGAAGCATTAAGCTAAGCAAAGCTTTCAAATAAATAAAGGAGCACACATATACATTGACAAAGATGTATGTATGTACGTAAAATTGGAAAAACTAAAATTTAACGAATTAATCGCCTGTCTTCAATTTTTTTTTTGTTTAGCTTTTAAAGGAGTTTTGTTAATCGAAAAAGCACGAATGTTTAGAAAACACCACTTGCAGTAGAGAGAGAGAGGGGGAGAGAGCGAGGGGCAGTGTGTCAATGGCTTGAGGCAAAGTTACAGAAACGATGGGTAAGCAAAGCAGAGAAAAAGCTTCTTCTTTACGATTAACGAAACATAACACTTTATTCATATTGATGGTAATATGTGATAATATCAGACGCTATTGATGTATGTGATAAAATGAGATAAAAAAAATCAAATTCAAATAAACAGCTTATTGAACTGTTATACGTGTGCTATTTGTTTGTATTTGCGGACTATATTTTCATGCCAAAATGTATTCCTTCTTTAGCAGGACAAACTGGACTGTTGACTCAAGCGAGCTTTCACTGTACATGCATGCATATGTATGTATGTATATGTATGTGTGTATACTTATGTGTATGGGTGCAGTACTCACTTCTCGCGATGCAACAAACAGATGCGATCCTTGGCCACTTTCAGTTTCTTGGCTATTATCTTCTTCAGGCTCTCGACGCTGATGTGCGGCTCGACGCTGACGCCGAAATTGCCGCCGGTTGTGGTGCTGATATTGAGGTTAATCATCATATTGCTGCCATTTACCGTTCCCGAGACCATTCCAGTAGTGCTGGCAACTGTTGTGGAACTGTTGCTGTTGCTCCCGTTGTGCTTGCTGTTGTTGCTGCTGCTGCTGCTGAGCAGCGCACTTGTTGTGGCCATTGCTGCTGCCATGGCCGCAGCCTGCGAATAACGTTGCCGTCCGCTATTGTTGTTGTTGGTGCTGTTGTTGCTGCCGGCGGCGGTGGCAGTATTGTTGTTGTTGTTGTTGTTGTTGTTGTTGTTGTTGCTGCTACTGCTGCTGCTGCTGTTATTGCCATTGGTGCCACACCCAGCTCCAGTTGCTGCTGCTGCCTCATTTTGGACATTAGCATCAGTTGCAGCTTTGGCTTTCGCCGTGTTCGTTGTTGTTGATTTATCCATCATTGGCAAATTTTCTTTCCTCTTGGCTCACACACCCACGTAACAAAAACAAACAAAAACAGAACAGCTTCAATTTGCCGAATATCCCAGAGATAACAATTTAAAAAAAAAAAGAAGAAGAACAACAATAATGCAAAACTCTGCACAAGAAAAAAAAATGCGTTGAAAATCGCGTAACGCGACTGCGACGACGACGACGACGACTGCGGCGTTGGTTCAATCGATTTTGTATACACACCACACCTTATGCGCGCACACACACACCCATGCACAGCTACGCACAGTCACACGGAGAGATAAAAAGGCACGCACGCACGCACGAAGAGCGAAGAACGTCGACGCTGACGGCGGCTGCGCTGCTTTTAAATTTTTTGTCTATTGCTGCGCGGCGACTGCGAAGTGGTGGTGCTGCTGCTGCCGCCAAAGTTCGACACACAACAAGACAGCAGAGTTTACGACGGACTGTGAAGGCGTCGGGCAGGGTGGGGCGGACATACAACACACAGTTACGTGTGTGCCGAAACAAGCGCAACGAGCTGAACGACGCGTGGTAGGCTTTTCTTTTCTTTGCTTGTCTTTCTTCTTTGCCGTTCGATTGCGAAACCGTTTACAGTTTCACACGCACTGCTTATGCTCCTGCTGCTGCTGCTTCTCTGACCGTTGCTGACTCTTCCTATACGATCGCTTGTTGGTTAGGTTTGACTGTTGCGCTTGTTATGTACAGATGGGATTTAGTATTTGTTTGATAGAGCAGTCCAGATGTCCAGGTACAACGCATATGGATCGCTTGTTTTGTTTATTGGTTTGAGTGCGCACACGCGGCAAATGTCTAAAGAATTTGATTTTATTTACAGTTACGATTTTGTAACGGCTTCAGATGGTTTTGGCTTGGTGTTTCACTGTAAGTGCCTTCGCACATTTGTACTATTACCACACACACACACACTCGTAGCAGTGGTCAAAGAATCAAATTGCAAGCGGCGGCGACGACGACGGTTGAACAAACTAAAAAAAAAGCCCCAACACACACACCAGGCGACAACGCACAGTTACAAGTCTAAATTTCGCGCACCGAGCGTCACACGTCCGCCTCGACCGGCTTTGGTTTTGCTTCTGAATTATCGATGACATACATTTTGATTTGAAAACGCGCGTTCCTATCGAATTCTACCATAACATATCTCTGTTAGTGTTACAGTTGCCGTTCGTTAACAGAGACGCCCATATGCAACTCTGGTGCTAAAGCGCCATCTACTTCAAACAGCAGGGTTGCATGCGATGCCAGCTGTCAGTGCTGACGGGCGGAAGTGACTTTCTTGTGTCAAAGCGAAGCAGAGTTCTTTTCGTTTAAAGGTCTCCTAGGCGAAAGTTGTGTTTTTCTGTGCATTTCACGTTTCGTGTCAAAAACTTAAGACTTAAAGTAAGTGATTGCGCCAAAACAAATAGCTCAATTTGTGCAGAAACTTAGCATGAAACACTTGTGCCACATTTAATTGGATAAGCGCAAGCGATGCCAATTATATAAACCGATTATGTGGATACCATACGAATGTTTATATTCATATTAAATTTGTTTTCGTTTTAGCATGCGTTACGTGGCTGCATACCTGTTGGCTGTCCTCGGTGGACAAGAGAGCCCCGCCAATGCCGATCTGGAGAAGATCCTCAGCTCGGTGGGCATTGAGGCCGAGGCAGAGCGTCTCACCCGCGTGATCAAGGAGCTCAAGGGCAAGAGCATTGACGATCTGATCAAGGAGGGTCGCGAGAAGCTCTCGTCGATGCCCGTTGGCGGCGGTGCTGCCGCTGCTGCTGCCCCGGCCGCTGGTGCACCAGCCGCTGCCGCCGGTGGCGACAAGAAGGAAGCCAAGAAGGAGGAGAAGAAAGAGGAGTCCGAGTCCGAGGATGATGACATGGGCTTCGCTCTCTTCGAATAAACAAACCCCCTCTTCATCTTGTCCAACCATTCGTATATACTGTGTAAACCAACAGCAGCAGTTCTTGAGGTATGTTAACAACTGTGAAGTTTGTGGAGCGAAAAGGGAGGCAAATCTTCGCGGGCAAGGCAAATGTTTGTGATGAACCAAACTTATCACCATCTTTCGACTGAGCACAAACGTTGATGCTATACAAGTTTCACTGATTCATTTGCCGCCGCACCTTCCCTCGCGCCCTCCAACGCACAAATCAATTTATGTGTTTGCATCAGTATTAATGTTGCCTCTCTTTCTCACTTACAGGACAGCCGGCAGTATTAACAGCGTCTGCTTTGCACAGTGGCACACATTGCTTTAAAATGCCGTTTAAAATTTGTTTTTTACCACCCAACGACAAATATACAACCAAAAAAAAAAAAGAGTTGAAACGTTTATTTCTATGAAATAAAAGTCTGCAGTGTTTACGCTTTATATACGTACATATATAATGTGTAGTGTTTATTTTTTTCTACCAAACTTATGTATATGCACATTTTTTTTTTCCAAGTCGGACTATGTATTTATTTGTTTTTTTTTTTTAGTTTTTCAAATAAAACAGTGATTTATAGTTTAATCTTGTGAGCAACAAATTTAAGGCGCACGTGCAGCTCCCCCAAGTTGATGGTACAGTCGAGACCTGCTATAGCGAACATCGAAATCTACTTCTAGAGCTAGTCTTCTCACTGCGCTCAAACTTATCTAATGCACGTTTCTATGAGTTTATTATATATTTTTTGGTTTGCTTTTCCTATGCTTTAAACCAATGTGCGTATATCGAGCTGCGTATCCACGTGTTTTGTCGGTTTTGCTTTAGAAGAGTGCGAAAGAGAAAGATATAGTTTTGCATGGATTCGACTATCTACAAAGGCCTGAGATAAATGTAAATGTGGACGATTTGATCGAATCATAGATATTCTGCAGCAGCAAATTGTTGAATTTGGCAGGAACTAACTTTCACTACTTTAATCGCTATCACTAAAAAAAGAAACAGATTGATTTTATCCATCTATTATCGCTCTAATCAGACATGGTTGTTTGAAAGAAAAGCAACTTTAGAAGGGCCTACGATTCGGGATGCTAGGGATTCAATATTCTCGTAGACAAATGGTTTATGTTAGTCAAGATTAACTGTTTCACTATGCGAATAGTAAATATAATGTAATAAGCGCGTTTTAACAATTCTTAAAATCGAGAAATGCCTTTTCGTATAAAATCTATATTAGTTCTATCTGGTATATTATAAATATAAAATTATCTGCTAAGCTCCATACAAGGCAATTGGATTTGACAGTTGATACAGATCGTAATATTCCACTTCTATTTGAAAATATGTTGAAAGTCCATCGCATAAAAAAGCATAAGTTGAAAACAAAGGTTTCAGCCCATGTTAGTCGTGTGGCGAGAATCTCGAAGCCGATTTCCATTCAAGAACGGTGAATATCGCGAGACTAGCAAATAAATGTTTGACAAAGATCTCTGAAACTGAGCTTGAAGCCGATTCGATAATAAACAGAAAGATTGCATGCAACCGATTTCCGCTAAATTTCCACAATTGCGAGGGGAATTTCCAAAATCGCTGAAACAATTATTCATTTTGGTTTTTATGTAGTAGCTTTGTAAATAAGTTTGAGGCCGATCGGACAAAACCTAAAAAATAGACCTTATAATCTTTCACTCATAAATTGTGAAACACGTCTCAAACAAATTTTCACCAAGATCTTTCCGCCAATTTAGCACAGTTACGGATGGGGTTTGCAAAATCTCTGTAACACGTACTCATTAAATTTTCACGTAAAGCTTCGAAATAAGTTTGAAGTAAATCGGACAAAGCTTAAATTTCCGCCCAAAAATCTTTATGTTGAAGAAGCTCGGTTCTGCAAAAAGTGTGAAACACGTCCCAAGTGAATTGTTATAAAGATTCTTAGAAATGAATTTGAGCCCGGAACATCACCTCATAGATTTTCCAAAAAATTGCGAGACACCCCTCAAACGAATTGGATTAAAGAGCTTTGAAAATGAGTTTTGGGCAGATCGGATGGCAAACAAAAAAGTGTCGTACGACAATTTTTCGCAAGTTTTCCATACTTGCGGCTGGAATTTCGCAAAACCCCGTCCTAGAGTGCACCTTCACCTGTGACTACAGTCAGTCAGATATAGAGACATATTCTCATGGCATGTCCCCAAGCGCCTGTAGACATGCATGTCTTGGAAAACGGAACATTTTCCCATCCTCATTTTAAGACCGATTCTTCCTATAGAACTATATGATAAAGTAGACCCTTGTCGAAAGTCTCATGTGTAGGGAGCAAAGTGAAACTAATAATTGGTATCCAAACCAAATCAATATATCTGGAAAACAAAGAAAGTTTTTTACAAAAACTTCATTTTCAGCCGATCGTTCCTATGGCAGCTATATGATCTATATGGTCAGATCCGGCCGATTGCGACATATATGCATTACACATTTAATGACTAAATTATATTTTCCACAAGGGTATACAAATTATAATTTCCTACATAATATGGAACAGTTTTTTGGCAATAACGCTTCGCCTCTTCAGCTGATTAATACAAGAAATGTGTAATTATTAAATTTAACAGGCTATATTTAAGTTGAATGATTAGCTAAAGTTCCTACATCGAAACTAGTTTCCAGCTAGTATTATTTATTAGTACTCGCTTTCGTTCTAGCCCTGAAATCGGCGACAAATAGAAAACTTGTGTCTATGAATTTCGGGCGCATCTCTCGGAAACGAAACAAAATATGTGTTAACAATGAAAACAGTGTGCAACAACGTTAAACTACGCGAAGGACTACGAATTGCGGTAGTCGTGCAGCTTGTCCTTGGTATCCTCCAGAATGTAGTCCTCCTGGGTGTAGCGCTTGCGCTGCTCCGGCGTAAGCGCCTGCAGTTCATCGAAGTCTGGTGGGGACGCCGCTGCCGCCGAGTCCTCCAAGTCCCGTTGATGCTTCTTGCGTTCTGGCGTTTGTTTGCGCTCGCGTCGCTTGGCCAGAAACGCCTCAAACTGGTTGCTGTTGCTGGAGGCCAATGCCTCGGCCTCGGCCATTTTGCGTTGCATGCGTGCCAGCTCCGGCTCCGCACTTGATAACTGTTCGGGCTGTTGCTGCTGCTGATGCTGGTCCCAGGCGCTCTTGGATTTGCGCATCTTGGTCAGAATCTTGTCCATGATTAGGCGATGATCCAGGCCAAGCACATCATGCCTCATTTCGGGCATGGCTGCTGTGACCTGTGGCGACGGTGCAGCAGTGCCATAAAATTCTTGTCGCGCCGTCTGTGCCGTATCATAAGTTGGGTGCTGCTCCCCATCCTCCGCCTCCGCCGGCTTGCGCAGGTTAAGCGTGCGCAGAATTCCCTCGACGCTGTTGATGTTGCTGCCAGTTTTGTCGCGCACAAACTTGATGCGTGGCACTTCACCCATGAGCCGCAGCTGGGAGAGCTCGTGGCGCAGCTGGCCGCTGCAACGTGATAGGTTCGCGTCGAGCTCCGCATCGTTGTGCAGCTCCCCGCTGCCCAGCCAATAGACATTAATGCAGGTGAAGTCCGAGCTTATCTTTACGCGCGACACCTGCAGGCCACGACCCAGTATGGACTCGGCTGCCTCCCCAGTAGCCAACAGATCGGTGATGTGCGTCATAAACAGCTTGTTTAGCACGGACATGCGACGCGTATTGTGCTTGGAGCCGGGCGAATTGCTTTTGCCAAATTGCGATGCCTGAAACACAACGCTCGGCGGCTGGTAGCCGCTGCCCGAGCTGCTGCCGCTGGCGTCATGGCTGGGATACCAGCGCTTCTTGGTGCCCGCCACCCGGTTGCCAAAGAGCTTGCCCAGGATTTTGCTCTGGCGCGTTGCATTGGTGCTGCCGGCGTTGCTGCTCTTGCCGCGCTGGCACGTGTTGATCTGTGCCAATTGCATCTGGTGCTGAAGCTGGAGCTGAGCACTGCTGGTGGCATAGCGCAGTGGCAGCAGTCGGTTGCGCAACATTTGTTGTTTGCCTCCTTGTTTTGTTTAAATTGTCAGTCCTCCTCCTCTCCTATTCACGTTTTGTTTATTTTTAATCAAAATCATCGGTTATCGATAGTATCATTTTAGCAGCTGTTTTTCACGATTGTTGATCGAACAGTTATCGATCCCCATTTCCAGCTCCGGTTGGATTATTCTACATCCAATTAACTGATATTAGTTACGCTTTAACTATGCGCATAAGCAATTTCTTGGCAAATTGCACTCACAATTCCGTTACGAAATACCAAATTTAAAATTTTAATCACGTTTTGCGTGAAAAGTACAAACTTAATATTCTAAATTCAGTTAACATTCTCAGTAAAGGGTATAGGAAAAAATTAATATTTGATGTATGAGTTATTTAAAAGAACAACTACAACAATAATCATTGTAGGGATCTTCATCTGCCTAAAACAAAAAATCTGCGCTCAGGATGATGTCTTTTATTTGTATAGAGTGACAATCAAGATATTTTTAAATAAAATGATTTCTTACGTCTTTATATTATTACATTTTTTTTATAAATATATCGTTTTTATATAAATCATATGGAAGAGAGTAATAGCCTTTCTCCACTGGGCTTAAAAATGTCACATTTTCAAGCTTTACATATTGGTGTTCCACCGGTTTTCGGTAACATGTGAGTGGCAAAAGTACTGTTTCTTTAAATAAACAGCTGATCGAGTTGCTTTAATTTACATAAGCGCCGCACAGATTTCCTTCCAAAAGTAAAATAATACGGCCCCGAAGTAGGGGCTCCGTTTAATAGACCCTTTGCGGGATATGGCCAACTTTATATGTTAAAAACTGTGGGATTATTAAAATTTAAAATTATAATTTAAAATTACCGCTTGCCTTCGTTGCAATATCAGCTGGTTTATGTTTACATTTTTCACAACATCGATAGAAATCTCGATTAATCATCGCAAAATACACGAAATGTTCGGGGCGAATTTACACATTTTTAAAAAATGTGACATTTTTGAAAAATGTGTGAAATGTGTTTTCTTATGGGGAAACGTACAGGCCGCATTTTACACATTTTGCAAAAATGTGACATTTTCAGAAATGTGTTCAGTGGGCAGAGGCTATAAGCCAAAGCAGTTTCCTGTAGTGGGAGCGAGATAAAAAACAGCGATGCCGTTCTATCGCACAAATCATATGGAAGAGAGTAAGCCAAAGGAGTTTCCTGTAGTGTGAGCGATCAAAAGATGTCATATGTATATCTTACTCGCTCGTTGGACCAGATGCAAACCAATTTTTGGTGCCCAACATTTTTTCACTGGTTGTCCTATCTATATGTTTTTTGGTTAGTGATTAAAGCCTATTAAAAATACATTTTGAAAAGACCTCAAAATTTCTAGTAACTTGGGCAAATAAAACCTTACTAGAAATATTTGTTTTCTGAAACTAATCAATCGTTCTGTTTCATTTGCGTTTATTTTCAGTGTGTGATGTACATTTGCGTCGACCTAAAATCCTGGATTTGGGCGAGTTACAGCGAATATATGCTAGTGTTTCCCTATTCTACATGACATTTGGTATTTTAGTTTTAATTAAATCCATTTAGGTATGTTTATGTTCACGCCGTACGGTCACACCGATTACATCTTTCGTAATCCGGATTGTTGATATAAATATAAACGCGCTGTTCGTGAACTCTGGCAGTATTGCAAAGGACCAACTAGGAGCAACGAACCTTTTTTGTTTTAGTTATTGAAAACCTCTGAACACATATATTTATATATATGTAATATTAATACAAAGTGAAATTGTTCAAAGTATACTTGGCGCGTCTTGCATACGTATTTGCGTATAAGCACCCGCTCCTTGTATATGTGTGTGTGTGTGTGTCCATGTGTGCCGCTTGCTTTTCGCATTAATCAACACAACACGCCAAACTAACAACAACACCAAAAAATAGAGTAGATCCCACGCATCGGCATGTCATACACGGAGCTGGAGTCGGGATATCAGGACCTGCGCCAGTCCACGCAGAGCAACGTCGGACCGTCCCAACAGCAGCAGCATTCGAATCAGCGCACTCAACAACCGCTGGCGTCGCACTCGCACCGCGTGGGCTTTTATCTGGGCCACGATGGCAATGTACGCATCAAACTGCATTACACACATCTAAATACATTTGCATTTATTGGCCCCCATTTAACTCCATACTATACTTTAATTTCCAGTATCTGTTCAAAATCAATAGTTTGTTGTTGTTTTTGTCGTTGACCCTGACTTTGTCAAATTGTTGTGCCAAATGACAGACGCAGCAGCAGCAGCAGCCGCAGCTTTGGCTGCGTCTCGAACAGCTGTTTTCTACCAGCCATTCACTCACGCTCTCGCTCTCACTTCCCCTCGATTATGTGCTTTTGTTGTGTGCAGCACTTGAGCTTTATTTCTCACACAGCCACGCGCCAAACAGCGGCGAGAAGTGTCAGAGAGCACAAGCGTATCGAATTACATTAAAAAAAAACAAGACGAAAATCAAAACATATGTATGTAAATGTGCATGCAGTTGCCGCCAAGATTACGAGAGCCATACGATTTGCTCGTTGTGACGTCACAACTCAGAACCTTTTAGTGTGCGCATCGCGCTTAATAAGAACAAATCAAATAACACATATAATTTTGCTATATCATTATGTTATATTATAAATATTATATATATTTATTTATATATATATATATTTTTTTACCTGTACACTCCGAAAACTCTAAGTTACAGCCCTAGCGCAGCCTTCACTTTTTTGTTCTTTTGGGCCGCCAAATGACGAAATAATTTTGTTCTCTATTGTAAAGTTTTTAATGTTTAAAATTTACCCATTTTTATAGCCTTTTTCAAAGGTGAGTTCATTTCTGATAGCAAAATTTACGCAAATTTTCACCGATTTTAATGATAAACCCATAAGGTAGAGTTTAAAATTTATTGAATTCGTTCTTCAAGAAGGTATTATTATATATTTTTTATAACTCTCTGATTTTAACTTAAAAATAATAATAAGTATCCGATTCATGAAGATACATTAAATAGCCCTCAAACAATGATGTTGAAATCTATGCATAAACGTCTTCATTTGTCTTCATAGTTATAGATTCTAAGGCTAAGAATGCTAAGAATTGATTTTACAGAAGGAGACATCCTCGACCCCATAAAGTACACATATATATATTCTTGATCGGCATCAAGAGCCGATTCTAGACTAGTCTCTCAGTTTTAATCGTCACGAAACTTTGCATAGGTCCCTCTGTTGCAGGCAGCAAAAGTAATATCGGAATCGGTCGAATCGGACCACAATATCATGAATCGGTCGAAAGACTTATTATTTTTATACCCTGAACCCATTAAAAATGGGTAAAAAAGGTATTATGTATTTGTGCAAATGTATGTTACAGGCAAAAGGAAGCATTTCCGACCCCATAAAGTATATATATTCTTGATCAGCATTATCGGCTAGTCGATTTAGCCATGTCCGTCTGTCTGTCCGTATGTATGAATGCAAGGATCTCAGAACCTATAAGAGCTAGAGACTTGAAATTTTAGCTGTAGGTCCTCCTAGTCCCCGCGCAGATCGATAACTTGCCCCGTTTCCAAGTAATCGATAAAAATCGATATCGGAATCCTGTTTTTTGAGCAATTTTGGTAAATAATAAGAGATTGAGTCACCAAACTTGACATGTAGCTTCTAGAATAGTATATATATATATCAAGTATCTTTCCCTTTTTAGCTATCGCCTGTTGGAAGAAGAGGGTTCAGGGCGCTCCCGACTAGAATTCCTTACTTGTTCAAGATATCTGAGCTAAACTCAGCATTTATTAGGTCTACTCTGCTTCTTCCATATGTGCAAAATCCTTTTTATATCGGGCAACCATATCATGTAGCTTCCAAAGAAACGATCTTAGGTGCCAAGTCTTATCAAAATCGCACTACTATATAATATACCTCTATAGAAAGAAAAGGTCGAAAAATGAGTTTTTCTATGGCAAAATATTCAGATTTTCATGATATTTTCATTAAATGTGTACAAAAGTAATAAATCTTTGGTATGCCTTACTTTTGTAATAGTCTTTTTATACCCTTGTAGAGAGTATAGCAATTTTGTCATGAAATATGCAACGCTTGGAGTGTTTCTCAGTGTTAAAGCTATCGACTTGAAACTTTGCAGGCAGTACAACTCTGCTAAAAAGTGACTCTTCTTCATTTTTCTCCACACTCCCAAGCTAAATAGCTAAGCTCATTAACAGCTGACTCGAGCTATACGAACCCTTAGACAGTACTGGATGTGTCAACCTGTTAAACCTTCTCTATGCGAAGTTTTTTCAAGATATCTTGATAGTAAAAAAACAACTTGTTTCTCGACGCTATGCGAAAGTTAGGGAATGGGAAAATTGGAAATTGGAAGATTATTTTTGGCATATAAGCTCGAAGGCTTAAAAAGAACTCGATTTGTCCACTAGGTTTATCAAATTACTTCTTGGTCGATGCTGTTTTAATGCATCTTTATGAATTGGACGATACCTGTGTTTTAAACCCCAAGCCAATCTCATTGGAAGTAGCTAAGAAGGGCTTGAAGATTTTGTGCAAATTCATTTAACACGCAGGAAGCAGGAAGGTATATAAATTCTTGCTCAGTATGAGCTTGCCTCGATTGCCTCTCCCAATTTAACTTATCGATGCCTTGCTCCATTTACATGAAATCGATCAAAAATCGATCTAGAAAACCTGTTTTTGGGCATATTTCTGCTAGAGTCATCAGATTTTGTACGTAGAATCTGTAATGCATGGAGATGCAGAATATTTAACCTTTTTGATACTTCCCCCTGTCCCACCCAAAATTGTCAAAAAAGTATTTATGTAGGTTAGTCTTGAGCCTTGATATGCACACATTTGTAATGATAGCTAGGCGCTGGGGTTCTCGATATTTCCTGGTCGGGGCACACACTAACTTGATGTAATAACAAACTCATTTACTCTTGAATCATTGTTAAGAAGCACAAAGTGTGCACAACTTATTTATAGGCAATTTAATTAGCTAGTCTAAGAGAAAGTTATCATTTAAATCGATTGCGGTCTGCGTTATGCTTACTTATATAAACTTTCCATTACTCTTGGCTGAACAATTGCTCAAGCTTGAAAATGTTGTTAGACAACTTACTTTGACATTTGGGCGCCCCACTGAGCCGAACGTGTAAGGTTGCAGATGTAACGCAGAAAAAGGGTCTGCATTTGTGTCATCTCTATTTATAAACCCATATGTAGATATAACATACGTATTATGTCAATCGCAGTTTGCTTATCGATCAGAAGCACATGTTCTCGCCAGTCGCTTATATTACGCACTAACAAATTGCCAGGAATTTGGATTTTATGCACTTGACGGGTCCTGTGGCTTGCTTGACAAAATTACCGGAATAGTACCTACGCACACACTTCACACACCCACGCACACCCACGCACACCCACGCACACCCAGACACCCACACCTACACCCACACACATATGAATACGTTAGAAAATATACGCAGAATGGGCAACAGCTTTGACAAATTCGCGGGAAACAGCGGTGGTGCTTACGCAGATAGCACGGGTCGCGGCTGGAGTCGCCGCAGGCGCAGGCACATGATGCCAGGATCATCGTCATCAGCAGCTGCTGGGGCCGCATCACCCGCGCCTAGTGGGGCTGTGCCTGACAGCTCCGACTGCAATGTCCACGTGAGGCGATTGCTGACGCATGTCAGCTCAACGCCAAATTTTGGTGGTGCGTCTCATGCGCGTGCATGCACGCGTGTTTGTGCGCGTGTGTTAGTTAGTCTGTTGTCTGTGTTTGTCAGCTGTGCACTCAAGCCCATCCTCACTCTCTCCCCCTCTCTCTCTCTCTCTCTCTTCCTTTCTTTTTCAATTCAACATTAGAAACAACTGTTAATGACGCACTGGAGCCGCGCTCTTCATCATTCTCTTATGCGGTGAACATTTATTACTATTTAGCCTGTTTATATGTGATTTGCTTTATGTTTTGTTTGATTTCAGATCGAGCTTTTTGAGTTTAAGTTGCTTGGTCTGCCTGCGTTTGTTTTTATCTTAACTGTTTTGCGTATTTTGCCCATATTAATTTTCATGTTAATTGCTTTTGCATTTGTTTGCTCATTTCGCGGCAAGACTAATTAATTTGTTGGTACTCTCCATGTGCACCTTTTTGTCGCGTTATTATCGCATTTTATTTGTTTTACATTTGTTTACGCCCATTTGGCTTTCGGCTTGGCCCAATTTCCGCCGACAATTTGCACTCTTTAAATTGCCAAATTGTCGTCCCATTTGTGGCACCTTCGTACCGCAGTTCATTTCGGTTTTTGCGGTAAGCGCGCGCGGTTGCTTTAATAAATATCTTTTTTGCGTGTCCTTTTGCGACTTGTGACGTCACGACGCAACAACTCGCCATTGTTTCGCGTCAAAGAACGTTGCATACTTTTAAGTGGCGCACGAATATTAATTTTGTTCGAATTTTTTTTTACAATTGTTCTTTTTCATTGTTCTAATTAAATAATGAGATAAATTAGCCAAAGGATATTTTAATAAAATAATACAGTGAAGCATTGGGAAGGACTATTTATATAGCACTCTTAACCCCAAATTAGGCCACAGCAAACAATTTGAATGAAGACTTTAAGTTTTTTATGCTAATTTTGAAATCTCTAATTGATAAATAATGAGATTTTGTAACAGCACTTCAAAGATATTTCCATGCCTAAGCTCTAATGAATTTATTTATTAAACGATATTTAAATTCCGCAGCTAGTCAATTCAAATGAACTGCGCAATACCCTGTTTGCAGTGCAGAACCTTTTTTTTGGCTAGTGAATCTTTGGGTTAGTGAATCTTAAACTGTAAATCTGAGACTGTGATTTTCAAAATTTCTGAAGCTTAGGGAAATATTGAGTTTTGTCGAGCTCTTCAATAATCTACTCAACAAAAATACTTAATGCTGAGCACTTGAAATTGATAGATCTGAAAAATGACGAATCAGGTAAGGGATGTGGGATACATTTCCAGTGTTGTAAATGGAATAAAAAATCATTATGAATTATTAAAACAAAACATTAAAAAGCAATTATAGATTCCCACTTATTTTAATATCGGCAATCACTTAGGACATTATTCAAACTCATGATAAAAATAAAGTAAAGTGAAATTAAAAACCTAATATTGTGTGTAAAATGGGTACAAATAGGTTTTGACTTTATTTCTGTGGATTAACACTCAACAAAAATGTTTTTCTAAATTTTCGAAAATTGCAAAAAAGTAAAAAAAGATAAAAAAAGTAAAATAAAATTAAAATATAAATTTCGAAATTAATTTTATGACAAATGCGAAAAAGAGTAAATAATTTATTCAGTGTAGTGTTGTCTGAGCCGAAGTCCAAAGCTGACATTCCTATTACCTATACTCCAAATGATATTAATAACATAAAATCAATTTAATTTTCTGTGACTGCTTAAGCCCAACACGTTCACTCTATCGGGTCAGCACTGTACAGTCGATATAAATGCCTTAACCTTAGTGCCGCGCATACGTCAGAGGCCGGGTAGCTCTGGCCCTTGAATAGTGGCGCACACCTTGAGCTTGCTAATTACCGTATATCTCTTATAAGCGATCGAGCGCTACGTAAGTGGGCTATATTGTATTCTTGTAGTATTGTAGTCCCCGCTCTCTCTCTCTCTCTCTCTCTCTCTCTCTCTAACCGGACGTGTATGTTTCCAGTACTTAAGTTGTATTTAAAAAGTTGCCGTCGTTGTTGTCGTTGTTCTCGTTGTCGTCGCTGTCAACAAAGATAACGTATGAAAATAATTGCACACAAAGAGAGCAATAAGAACAAAAACAACAACAACAACAACAAATGAAAGAACAATATGAAGAAAGCGCTGCCGTCTTTGGCTTTGTGTGTGGCGGAGAGGCCAATTATCATGATCAACACGGAGCTGAGTAAATCCAAACGATTGCCGTACGCTCAACCATTGCTCAAAAGCTTAACCGATCGACGCTGGCGCTACGTTTCGATCCGACTCGCTCTGGACTAGAGATGATAGCGTGATTTAATTTCTCGGCATGTTACAACGCCATTTTGGCAAATACCAACCAAAATACCAATGCAAAACAAAATAGCAGCTGATTAAAAAGTCAAATTAACGTCCGCTCACCCCAAGCTCATTGCTAACTTCATGGCAGTTATTGTCATGAGGGCATATTATGAAGGCATAAATGTCATTTATTAAAATTTTAAAAAATGAGCTCTGCTTGATTACAAAACAGCATAGTTTGTGCATATCTATGCATTTCGATGTTCCCGTCAAATTTTAAAATGAAGATTAGTGCCTGGCAACACATGTAATGTAGTATTTAGGCAAATGAATGTGAGAAACTGAAAAGCTACAAAAATTTAACAACTTTTGACTGCATGACAAATTCTTACAAGAGAGTAGCAGCTGCCTGGCCAATTTTTGCAGTCAGGTGAAAAAGAAAATTGAAAAACAGGAATGCGTTTTTTTTTTTAACACTAGAGACAAAGGTGTTGAGATATTCACAATAAACTTGATGAAAACACGTCTAAAAATATAATGTTGATGTCAAATTTTGAAATGAAGATAAAGTGCCTAACAACATATGCAAGTTAGAAACTAGATAAATGAATGTGAGAAACTCAAAAGTTTCAAATTACAAAAAATTATTTAGTTCAGAGCGCATGTCAAATTCGTACAAGAGAGTAGCCAGGCAGCTGGCAAATTTTTGCAGTCAGGAATGCGTGTTGATCACGCATTCACAATGAAATTGTGGAAAATACGTCTAAATAAATCAAATATATCTATAACATGCAAATATCTCATAAATGCGAATATCCGTATATTTTATATATTTTTCGTTCGAATACTTCAATTGGTTAAGTACGTGCCATGTAATGTATTATGGCTTTAAAGTTCAACGTGCACGCACATTATACGGGCAGTTTTATTCGACGATTAACTCGTGACACGTGGCGCTACAATGTGCCCCACCCTAGTCCGGAACGGAGTGTAGCTGATAGCCGTTAGGCATATTCACATTCGCAGTCGCAGTCGCAGTCGCAGTTGTGCCGTGGCCCACTGGCCAGTTGGTTGCGGTGAACGACGCGAGTTGCTACTCAGATAAATAAAAAAAAAATATTATACAAAAATACAAACTCTCACACGACGCGGGAATTTTGTTGAAATTTATGCATGTGCTATTAAAAACAATAACAAATACGCCGTTGTAAAACAAGAACAATAACAAGAGCAACAAGAGCGGGTGTAATAAATTATTAGGGCTTTGGTATTTGGTGAAAAGTTGAATGGAGTGGACCTGGTTCAAGGATTGGTGGCGCCTCAAAAAGCTGCGTTCGCGTCATCAGCGCCACAAAAAGAAACTGGAAGCAGCGGCTGCCGCTGCTGCTGCCGCTGCTACTGCCAGCGTTACGCTTGCCACAGACCTGAAGCTGGATGCAGATGCAGACCATGTGGAGGCACAGGCGCTGGCCACTAGGGAGCGCAGACGTAGCCTGGACATGCACCCGGGCCGCAGACGCAAACGCAATCGTCCGCGGCAGCGACGCGCCAAAAGCGCCGGCGCCCCGGTGCACCAGCAACAGCTACAGCTGCCGCTGCACCAGCAACAGCTACAGCTGCCGCTGCACCAACAACAGCTGCAGCTGCCGCTGCAGCAGCCGCAACTGCTGCTGCAGGGGCACGGGGAGGAGGACGATGGCGAATACGGGCCATTCAATGTTGGCGACTACTTGGACTACTACAACTGCTCCAATGCCAGCGGCAACGACGATGATAGCGACGATTTCTGCTACTGCGACGAGTGCCTAAACGTAGGTGCCGCTCATCGGGCATAGCCCTTATCTGGGTCTCGCGTCTTGGCCGGGCCTAAATTTAAGCACGTTAATCAGTTGTGACAACAGCAAAAAGCCAGCCAACCGCCGCTAATTGAAACGTCAAATGGGCCAAAGCAATTGAGTTTGAGCTGCTTTCAGCGCCAAGTTGAGGGATAAACAAATGTTAGTGCCCATTATCATTATACTCTTGCAGAGGCTATTCTAGTTTTCTCACGTCTCCGAGCTCACAAATTATATGTGGAAAGAGAACAAAATGACGGGCCAGAATTTTCAAACTCGTTTTCTTAATAAACATTTCTCAAGGTTTAGAACTTAAATCAAGTTAAGTTATGGATTTTAGTATAGTTTGTACTTTATTTTCGATATTTATCTTACTAATTAACTAGTTAGTTTGGGAATAAATCTGACAGTTCTTGGATCAAGTAGAAGAAAAGGTATAAAATAAGTAAAACTTGTACTTAATTCAAGTTTTAAAACATTAAGAATATTTTTTTGGTCTGTATGAATTGCCGCGCCAGTCTGTCTGTTTCTGTGCAAACTAGTCCCTCAGCTTTGAAGCTATCGCCACGAAACTAGCAATATAGCTGACAAATCATGACAAAACAAGAAGTTTTGTAAGAAAGACATTTCAGAGTATTTAATGTCTAGATGACAAAACTCAGCAATTACACAAGCTTCACCCTTCCGCTAACATATCGGAATCTTATATTATTTGGCTCCTTTACGAATAATCGGTCGCAAATAAAGCTTTTGCATGAATATACATACAAGGATATTTAATCATCGACAGTGTGTCGACGATTCGACCCAATTGTTTCACTATACACATTTTGTAAACGTTTTGATTTATGATTTCCATTTCAAGACCTAAATTTCAAACTAACTTTTCACTCAAATCTGTTGTCTTTCCAAGCAGCTATTACGTTTAAACTACGTTAAAAACCTGTCATGGTAATCAAATGGAAGGTTTTATGCCGCACCCTCTCAAGCGGGCTAATATTGTATATAGACTCGTTTACAAATGAATAGGGTATATTGATCTGTCTTAGAGGCTTAAAACTTGTTGTGGGGCCAATCAGGAAACATATATGTCTCCTGCAGTCTTAGGGCTACAGTGGCCAAAAGTGGAATTAAGATTTCGTCCTGTGAAGAATTTATATTACTTTGTAAGTTGTTCATGTAGCCTGACTTAAGCTGTTATTGGACTCTAAAGAAGTTAAAGTCTAAAGTTTGTTTCATCTACTTATTGTCGACAACCATTGACAAGATTTGATAACTTTTAAAGATAAAGCTGCGATAGGAAAACATAATCATTATCTTAGATGGAGAAGATAATTCACTGATATTTAATTTATTAAGAATTAAGCGTTAATATGATCAAAACGGGTTAATTCAGTATATTATACAGCTGGCATAGATTTAACTGGTCCAGTTATAATATAAACTATGCCCTGTTCATTTGTTAAGCTGCGATTTTGTCACCTTTTAAAGTGAGTGTTGGGAGGAAGGAAGAGAATGATTCTACAGATCCGTTTGCTTCTTCGTGCTGTCACAGTACGTAGAATATATGTTTGCATGAGTTACACAGAGTGAAATTTGATATTCATTAAGTTGAACATATTGTTCTCTTGATAGGGATCACATTATGAGAGGGTCAACTATCTTCGAACATAACTACCATCACATCATATCATCAGTATATGAAATATGATAAATATACATATGTATGTATATGCTTGGGATCTGAAACAGCAAAAATTCAAACTAAAAAAAAAAAAACAAAGAGAACTAACAAGCTCTTTAACAAAATTGTTGAAAATTTTCAATTTCTATTGTTATTGTTATGATTCCGGGCGTCCGTTTTCGCAGCATAAACCACTTGCCAGCAGCAAAAGCAACATCTAACGAAAAGACTATCATTTATATTTTGAAGGGCGATACGGATTTCGGTGACAGCAATGACGGCATGGACTCCGATACTAGCACCTCGTCCAGCAACAGCAAACAAGTCGTTGTTGGCATCTGTGCCATGGCCAAGAAGACACAGTCGAAGCCCATGAAGGAGATACTGACACGCCTGGGCGAGTTCGAGTTCATCAAGCTGGTGACCTTTGAGGAGAATGTTATATTGCGCGAGCCCGTACAAAATTGGCCCATATGCGATTGCCTAGTCTCCTTTCACTCGAAGGGCTTTCCCCTAGAAAAGGCCATTGAGTACGCTCAGCTGCGCAATCCGTTTGTGCTCAACAACTTGCACATGCAGTACGACATACAGGACAGACGACGTGTCTATGCCATACTGGAGAAGGAGGGCATCGAGATACCGCGCTATGCTGTGCTCGATCGCGATTCGCCCGATCCGAAACGTAAGTTCGACAGTCGCAGCTCTAAAGCCTTGTGTTTTAAACCCTTTCAATTTACAGATCATGAGCTAATTGAGTCGGAGGATCACGTGGAGGTCAATGGTATTACGTTCAACAAGCCGTTTGTTGAGAAACCCGTCTCGGCCGAGGATCACAACATCTACATCTACTATCCAACATCCGCTGGCGGTGGCAGCCAGCGTTTATTTCGAAAAATCGGTAGCCGTAGCAGCGTTTACTCGCCGGAGTCGCGGGTACGCAAAACAGGCTCCTTCATCTACGAGGACTTTATGCCCACCGATGGTATGCTAACTTGCTCTCTATGCTCCCTTCCCCTGCAATGCACCTACTGAAGTAGGTGCTGCTCTAGCACGCTCTAACTAATGCTGGACGGGATAAACATTTGCATTATCCTAACTAGCATATATATGTATATATATATATTTGTATAAATTTTATTTATAATATATATATATATATACATATATATGTATATATATATAGATATATTTAATAGATTTAGAACCGTTTAAACAGTCACGAATTAAATAAGTTAGTCAGCGCTACCATGCTCGTCACGCTACGCCACGCCCCCCACACCACTATCACAACGCCCACCCACACACAAAAACAGATGAAAAAAAAAATGAAAGAAAACAAGTAAGAATACTGCAGTCGGGTGCAGCCGACTGCGTAATACTCGTTCACAACAGCTTAAAACAAGTAACCCGACAAATTTGTTGAGAGATGTCGACATTGCGATTTGCCAAAATAGTTTGTTAACCTTTGAAAAAGCTCATCTGTAGTCTTTAATGAAAATTTGGTCACTAGCGTCTAAACTGTCGTAGGATATATGTATATCTTACCCCAGAAGGTTTATCCGTTTAATCTGAACACTTTAGGTGTACACGAGTTCATATTCCAGGTTTCTTCAATAGCGACCAAGAAATTGTGTTTATTCGGACAGACGGACTTTGCACAGTACCAATATACCCTTCTTAACTTTGTGAACGAGTATTGATAACGAAAAGAAAAGCATATTGTCATTGCCATCTGTCTTGCGTCTCGCTCGCTCGTTCGCTCGTTCGCCGATCGTTGCTCGCTGCTCGCTGCTCTCATTGCCGAACTCCCCAAGAAAAAGTGGCCGCCAGTCGAACGCACTGAATCCAGCATTACCTTTACAACTTAGTGTACTTTTCAGGTACCGACGTCAAGGTGTATACCGTGGGCCCGGACTATGCCCATGCGGAGGCGCGCAAGAGCCCGGCGCTCGATGGCAAAGTGGAGCGCGATAGCGAGGGCAAGGAGATACGCTATCCGGTCATACTCAATCACTCGGAGAAGCTTATCTCACGCAAGGTGTGCCTGGCCTTCAAGCAGACCGTCTGCGGCTTTGATCTGTTGCGCGCCAATGGCAAAAGCTACGTTTGCGATGTCAATGGATTTAGTTTTGTGAAGAACTCGAATAAATACTACGATGATTGCGCCAAAATACTGGGCAACATGATACTGCGCGAATTGACACCGACCCTGCACATACCCTGGTCGGTGCCATTCCAATTGGACGATCCGCCCATTGTGCCCACCACCTTTGGCAAGATGATGGAGCTGCGCTGCGTGGTCGCTGTCATCCGGCATGGCGATCGGACGCCCAAACAGAAAATGAAGGTCGAGGTTCGACATCCAAAGTGAGTTACATTCATGATGTCATTGGATCACTATTGACATGAGTTATTAAGCTATTGCGAAAAAAAAACTCTTTTATAATGATTGCCAATTATAGTTTTAAAAGCTCGCTAAATCTTAAGCTGCAACTAAATTCTTGAGGGTTCGGTTTTAAGACGGGATTAAAAGCTCACGAAAGTTTTAAGCCACTTAGTTGTGTTCATTAATGTATGCCATGCGGGTAACTTAAAGCTCACATCGCTTTAAGCTGCATGCACTTATTTTCAGCAGCTTTTTGAGTAATTAGGAGCATGAAGCTGAATTTATATTTTAATAATAATATTTATCTTGTTTGAATCTTCGAACTAAACGATCGTATTTTGTTTTTAAATAGCCCGTTAAAAAAAATTGCATTTGATTTTAAAAAGAGCTTTATAAAAGGAAAAATCTTCGTGAGTCTCAAAAGCTTAAAGCATCTTTTATTTTATTTTAACAATTTATTAATCGGACTTAAAGCTCACAGCCTTTCGATTTGCTTATCTAAGTTAGATTCGTAACCTTAAAATAATGCACGAGGTGTTCTTAAGGTAGTTTTGTAGGATTTCAAAAATGAATCTAAATTTTCCTGTTCAATTCTTCAGATTTTTCGAGATCTTTGAGAAATATGATGGCTACAAACTAGGGCATGTGAAGCTAAAACGACCAAAGCAACTGCAGGAGATACTGGATATAGCACGATTTTTGCTCAGCGAGATACACACCAAGGCTCATGCCGAGATTGAGGAGAAGGAGAGCAAGCTGGAGCAGTTGAAGAATGTGCTCGAAATGTATGGCCATTTCTCGGGCATCAATCGCAAGGTGCAGATGAAATACCAACCCAGGGGTCGACCACGTGGTTCCAGCTCTGATGATGGTAGGTACTCGTCATTTTTGTTAACTAATCTAACCACAAGCTAAGTCCTAACCATTTCAGCCGAAACGCCCGCCGAACCCTCGCTGGTCCTGATCCTCAAATGGGGCGGTGAACTAACACCAGCGGGTCGCATCCAGGCCGAGGAGCTGGGTCGCATTTTCCGCTGCATGTACCCGGGCGGCCAGGGACGCTCGGACTATTCGGGCACACAGGGTTTGGGTCTATTGCGGTAAGTACTTGCGTTTACGTACCTACAATTTCCGCTAAATGTTCTTTCATTTGAATAAAATTGATTTAGTTTGCACTCAACCTTCCGACATGACCTCAAGATTTATGCCTCGGACGAAGGACGCGTTCAAATGACCGCCGCTGCCTTTGCCAAGGGTCTACTGGCCCTCGAGGGCGAGCTGACACCCATTCTGGTGCAAATGGTTAAGAGCGCCAATACGAACGGGCTGCTGGACAACGATTGCGATTCAAGCAAGTACCAGAATCTGTAAGTATCTATGCAAATGATCCGAACAGATGTCGCAATTGCTATTTTATTTATTGGACGATTGCTTGAACGATGCTTTGAATAATTATTTACTTCCAATACGAGAGCAGATCTAGCATAAATAGGCAATTTATAGATGTTTTTTGATAAGCTGTTGGATAAATTTAAAGTGGACGCGAGGATTCGATTAAAATCTGTCGTCGGCTTATTAACCAATGTGAAAATCGATTAAAACAGATACTGACTTTTGGTATATAGTTTGAACATGTCCCAGATAACTTAATAGAAAATATTTATCCATAAATGTAATTATATGACATATGATTACAAAATTGAAGTGAGAAACTTAGGCGAGAATACGACCAGAAGATAAGCTGAATTCAATTTATAAATATACAGATATACAAATATATATAACTGCGCACTTATTGCAGCGTTTATGGTTCATCATCATCTCTGTCCCACTCCATGGAAAACACATTCTCGAATAACTCCGGTTTTATAAAATATTTAGTAATCAAACCAGTACTATACAAACACATCAGGCCCTAGCTAAGGGGAGAACAGGCAGCGGTGTCCAAAAGTGAAATATTCTTAATCAGTAGACTTAAAATTTAGCTTGTGTTTATTTATTTTTAATCAAAATCTACAATTTGTGCTCCACACAGCGCCAAGGGTCGACTGCACGAGCTGATGCAAAATGATCGAGAGTTTACACAGGAAGATCGCGAACTGATCAATCCGTGCAACAGCAAATCGATAACACAAGCTTTGGACTTTGTTAAGAATCCGGTGGACTGTTGTCATCATGTGCATTTGCTAATACGCGAACTGCTGCACATAATCAGCATCAAGAAGGACGATCCAAAGACAAAGGACGCGATACTCTATCACGGCGAGACATGGGATCTAATGCGCTGTCGCTGGGAGAAAATCGAAAAGGACTTTAGCACCAAATCGAAACTGTTTGATATATCAAAAATTCCAGACATTTACGATTGCATCAAATACGATTTGCAGCACAATCAGCATACGCTGCAGTACGATCAGGCCGAGGAGCTTTATATCTATGCAAAGAATCTGGCCGATATAGTCATACCACAGGAATACGGACTGACACCGCAGGAGAAACTGGCCATTGGCCAGGGAATTTGCTCACCGCTGCTTCGCAAAATCAAGGGCGATTTGCAGCGCAACATTGACGAGATCGAGGATGAGTTTATGAATCGACTGAATCCTCACTACAGTCACGGCGTGGCCAGTCCGCAGCGTCATGTGCGCACTCGCCTCTACTTCACCAGCGAGTCGCATGTGCATTCGCTGCTGACGGTGCTGCGTTACGGCGGATTGCTGAATGTTGTCACGGACGAGCAGTGGCGTCGCGCCATGGACTATATTTCGATGGTATCGGAGCTAAACTACATGTCCCAGATCGTCATAATGCTGTATGAAGATCCGACCAAGGATCCCACCTCCGAGGAGCGTTTCCATGTCGAGCTCCATTTCAGTCCCGGCGTCAATTGCTGCGTACAAAAGAATTTGCCACCTGGTCCCGGTTTTCGTCCGCATTCGCACGGCGATAACTCCTGCAGCGTGAGCTTGCAATCTAACGAGGAGTCAAATCCCTCACGCATCGAGGAGGAGAACGATACCATTTCAGGCGATGAACAGCAGGGCAAGAAGCGTAGCGTACGAAACTACTGTATATGCCGCATGGAAGTGCGTGATTTAAATAAAATCTCTCTCTCTCTCTTTTTCTCCCCCTCTCGTCTGTCTCTCTCTCTCTCTCTCTATCTAGTGCCCACTACGGAATTCATCTAACAATTCATTTGGCTTTAATCGCCTGGATCTGCGCTCCAAGCAGGCCAAGTCGAAACCAATTCCAATTGGAGCCCATCACACGGTCAGCGGTCACGAGGCCATGGATCTGGCCAAGCGGCTCAACGAGGAGCTCGCTTCGCAGCACCAACAGCAGCTGCATCAGAGCCATCAGCAGCACCAGCAGCAGCAGCAACAACTACGACCCATTAGTCCCGATATACGAGCCGTGAGTCCAGACTGTGAGCCGCGCTCGCGCAGCTTTGAGCAGCGTGGATCGCCGTCGGCCAATCGCGGCAAGGAGGCGGGTATGTATGTGGGCGGTGCGCCTGTCTCCAATGCAACCAACAATAATTGCTGCCTGGCCGCTGACCCCTTGCCCAGTTGCCACTGGGTCTCATTGGCCGGCTTTACTTTCCATTTCAATTTCAAACTTTATTGTTGATTTGATTTCAATATTCGTTGATACTTTTGTCGTTATTATTATTATTATAATTATCTTCATATTTTTTTTTCTTTGTTTAAACTCTTTTTTTTTTTTAATTTTCAATTGGCTTTCTTAACACACTGACCAAAAACAATTGGCTATATCAACTAACCTCCGGCTATTTGTCTACGTTATCTCTGCTCAGTTGGTTATTCTAACCAACAAAAATACATGTTGGTTATTCTTATTTGTTGCTCTGCATGCCAATTGTGTGCGCGTTTTACAAACTCCCGTTTTTTCTAACTCTCGAAAAGCCCGTAACACGATGCCGAAAACCACAAAATACCCAAACCCCACCAAAAACCAACAAACCCAAAACCACATTCCTAGCAGGAATTGGTCGCATTCAGAATAGAAAATACTAATCGATGATAGCCCTCAGACACAGTACCTCATGCAATTTGCATCACTGCTGAATATTATGCCTTAATACCCTGTAGCCAAAGCGAAAAGCGGCCATATCTGTCCGTCTGTCCATAAACAAGTATTTATTTTTCACGACACTGAAACTAGAGACTACACAATTGTTGCTTGTGGTGTGCCGAATTGCTGTTGATCTCCTTTAACTGTGTAATAATAATGTTAAATGAAGAAAATACCCGGCATTGCCCGTGTAATCTTAATAATTTCAAGCATGCCATCGGCATATGTTGCAATTGCATAAAAGTCGCTTATTTGTGTTAGTATATTAGAAAAAACTATTTTCGCATTTTAACTTAAATTAAAATTACAACACACTTGATTTATATATATTTGTATATAGATTGTTGCCACGCCTTTCACATACATATTCAATAAATCGCCCACCTGTTTTGCGATTGTTATTAGAAGAAAGAGTCGAAACATATTCAGCAGTAAATATCAGTAATAATAATGGATTAGAATTCTCTTCTGGATGCGCCCATAATTACTTTTAAATATTTTGAATTATAATTTCCTTTTCTTTTGTTTTTAATTGTATGATTTTTGTTTTTGGTTTTTATTATTACGATTGATGATGCTCCCGAATTTCAAGCAATATGATTTCAATGTTTTTTACATTTTTATCATCGTTTTTCAAGCATCACAAAAAGAAAACAGTTTACCCGAAACTGAGCCCAACATTTTTGATTTTCATTCTTTCCACACGAGAAAAAATATGTTTAATCAGATTTCAAATGTAAAAAAAAGAAGAAGAAAAATACGAAACACACACTTTACCAGCACCCACATGAAACCACAATTGCCGGCTACTGTGTTTGTGTCACTCCTGATCCTAGTTGAGCTCTCTCCCGCTTCCGAATCGACTCGGAAGCGGGAGATAGCTCTGAGACGGAGTTTGGGGGAAATCAATGAAAATCGATAGGCATCTGGCCGCGGAATCCCGTGTACTTGGCAATGCAGCCAAACTGATTTGAGCAACATTCACTCTTAGCAACCATCCAAACAAAAGCCCCAAGATCCAAATACTGTTCCTAATAGCTAGCGATGCCCATGAGCTAAACGGTTGAGCGTCAGGGAGTGCTGCCACGCCCATTATTAAAAGTGGACGTGAGAGCCTTGCTGGCGCCCAATTGTTGGCTTACATGCATTGTGAGTGTTGCGCACTCTCTCTCTCACTCTGTCAATGCCCTCTTCTCTCTCTCTCTATCTCTATCTCTATCTGTATATATCTGTATGTGTCTGGTCTGTGACTGTTTTGTTGCGTCTGCACCTCTGTCGCTCTCTCTCTCTCTCTCTCTCTCTCTCTCTCTCTCTCTCTCTCTCTCTATCTACCTATCTATCAATCGGTCTGTCTCTGTCTATCTATATATGTTTAATGCATGATTCGATCCGCCGAATTGAAAAAAAAAAATTGTTAGTTGAGAGTATTTTGTGTTGGTTCCATTGACTTGTAACATTCTTAACTATGAATGTAATATGTTTGTTGTTGCTCCTCCCTGTTATTGTTGTTGTTGTTGTTCTTTGTTTGTTTGTTCGTTTGTTTGTTTGTTTGTTTGTTTGTTTCTTTGTTTGTTGTGCGCGCAAATACCCAACCAGACTAACGATTACTTGTGCCTCCAAAGCCTAACCCGACTCTAACTCACAACTAACCGGACTCATTCTGACCAATCGCCGCCTGCTGTTGCTCTACGCCGTCGACGTTCTGCCTGCATCCAAAACTTTAAAAGGCGCCTGCAAAGCAATAAGATTAATGGCTTACTTATACCAATCTTCCCTGCATTTAAGGGTCCCCATAAAAAGTACCAGAAATTTACGTCTGTTCTGTCAAATCAGATTTTTAGCTTGAAGACCAACAATTTTCATAAATTACAAATATCGATTTCTCTATGGGTTGCTTTCGAAAAAATTCCATTCTCAAACCAATTAAACAATTTTTCTCTACAATATAATTAGTAATAAAGTTTTACACAATTGTCTGGACTATTTAGGTTTCTTAGTTATCAATTTCTGATCTGATATGATTATTATTGTATTCTTCCGTCAGCTTTTTAAATCTTAGAAATTTCTGACAGTTTAACATTAATAATAATAATAAAAATAATATTTTTGAAGTCGATTCAAAATGTAACTTTCGCCCATAAAACCTTTGACTCCTATTTTTCACATAGGAGGGGGAATTTTGCGAAAAGCGTGAATTTTTTGAATGATCTCTGGAAATCAGCTAAAACTCGATTTCCATGCAACCGTTTTCCGCCAATTTAACAAACATCGCAAATGGTAACTAAAAAAAATCTACTTCCCAGCCTTTACGGTCAATCAATCAGAAAAAAACGTGTTATAGGTTATTTTAACCTAGCCTTACTTGGAACTTGGGAACTCGACTCTCCCATATCATATCGTTTATGCAAATTGTTGAACAAAAGCTTACAAATACTTCAGCGCATGTTTTCGTTAAAAAAATTTAAGATGAAATTAACTGACATGTTGACTGTCAAGTGGCCTTAGACGATCAGAGATTTATACGATCGGTCGATTTTAGCCCAGCTGTTTTTTTTATTTTTTTAAATTTTTGTTAACGTTTTATAAGTAATAGATGAAAAAAGTTGAAAAATATGAATACAAAAACTATGAAATTATAAAGAATTACTAAATTAATATTTGTCATTGGAAAAATTAACAAATCAATATTCGAAAATATAAATTAAAAAAATAATGAAAAAATGAAAATTACTATGCTCATATTTAAATATGAGAAAAATGATAAATCAATTAGAACGAGAAAGAAGTGCTATCTTCGGCACACCGAAGATTTAATACCCTTGCAGACCCAACCTTTTCAAAATGCTCATAGTGCTTTGCCCGTATCTAAGAAGCACAGGGAAAATAGTTAATGCAGAGTATGGTTAAGATATCTTGAACAACAAAACAGGTTTCCATACAACAACTTAATTTTCGACCGATCGTTCCTATGGCAGCTATATGAAATAGTTGCCCGATGTGAATAAGATTTTGCATAAGTGGAGGGAGCATAGTAAAACTAATAAATGCCGAGTTTGGTCAAGATATCTTGAAAAACAAAAAAATTCCATACAACAGCATAATTTTCGACTGATCGTTCCTATGGCAGCTATATGATATAGTTGTCCGATCTTAATAGAATTTTGCATGTATATGGGGACCGTAGTAAAACTAATAAATACCGAGTTTGGTTAAGATATCTTAAAAACACATACAAATTTTCTATACAAAAACTTAATTTTCGACCGATCTTTCCTATGGCAGCTATATGATATAGTGGTCCGATCTTAATAGGATTTTGCATATATATGGGGAGCCTAGTAAAACTAATAAATACCGAGTTTGGTCAAGATATCTTGAAAAACATAAAAATGTTCCATACAAAAACTTAATTTTCGACCGATCGTTCCTATGGCAGCTATATGATATAGTTGCCCGATCTTAATAGGATTTTGCATATATATGGGGAGCGTAGTAAAACTAATAAATACAAAGTTTAGTCAAGATAACTTTATAAACAAAAATGTTTTTCATACAAGAACCTACTTTTCGACCGATCGTTCCTATGGCAGCTATATGATATAGTGGTCCGATCCAGCTGGTTTTGACATATGAGCTGCGTGCAACAGAAAGAGGGAATTCTGCAAAGTTTCATAAAGATAGCTTTAAAACTGAGAGACTAGTTCGCATAGAAACAGACAGACGGACAGACGGACAGACGGACATGGCTATATCAACTCGGCTGTTGATACTGATCAAGAATATATATACTTTATGGGGTCGGAGATGTCTCCTTCTATGCGTTACACATTTCACGACAAAATTATAATACCCTCTGCAAGGGTATAAAAAGAATAACGACAAAAAAATAATAGGAAAAAAACGCACATTAATGGAAGAATAACATAAGATTGATTGCTCTAGTCGGGTGTGACCGACTAGGAAATACCTTGAGCCGCGCGCAGAGCTTCCTCAAAAAAGTTAGGATGAAACCTTTTGTAAAACGAGGGAAGTGTGTTCATGCATAAAATGTATGTGTTTACCGAATCCCAAGGCTCTTACTTTAAAATGAGATTTTCTTTTGCAAACTTTGAGAGAATGAGACATCCAAAAAGTACCAGACAAGAGCTCTTATAAGATTCGAATTATGCTTTAAAAACGAAGTATCAAAATCGATTTACATCGATCTTTTGAAAATGGGACGCGATATCGATAAAAAAAAAACCTGTTTTGTCATAATTCATGTCTGAGATCAACGAGCTTACCCAGACGGACAGGGCTAGATTGACTTCGTTCGTTATCTTGATTAGGATCGAAGAGGCTAAAATGGGCCCAGGGTATAAAAATGAAAAACTTTAAAATAAAGTAATAAAAATGAAAATTAATAATAAACAAATATCAGCCAAATGTGGCAAAAGCTTGAAGACTTTTTTCATGTATATACTAAATATTAAACATAGTTTCGCATTGATACCCTTTGAATAGTTAAGTTGCGGAACTGCCAATTTCATAGACGTGCTTGCAGGTGCGTTTAGTCTTCGGCATGCCGAATGTACCTGTGCCCCTCTTCTTCTTCTATATCAACTTTGATGCGTTCTTCGGCTAATTAGTTTTTTGTTTGTATACTTTACGACCAAACACCCGTACGTACATACTATATTCATGCATACATACACACGCACACGCACACGCACACACACACACACACACGACCATACATGCACACTTCCTTCAATCATGACCACATCAATACGTCTGTCCCCCCCGACTCTACTAATCGCAAACAGCGCCGGCGGCTACTTTCGACGAGATCGCTAATGCACGCGTGGGTGTGGGCGTGGGCGTGGCCGTGGCTAGCAGTGGCAGCAACCGCACCGCCATACAAATACGCGTCACCGACAGATTGTCCTTCTTCAAGATCGACTCGTCAACTAATGAATTGCCGCTATCGGACATTGACTTCTCATTGACGCCGGGCACACCTCAGTGCGCCAACATGAATCCTGGCGGCTGCAGTCGCACGCACAAGCGCCACATTCTGTTAAGCATGCGGCGCATGGTTAGCGGCGAGGAGCCCGAATTCGAGGGTATACATTTGCCACAAATATCGCCGCTGGCCACAAACGAGCGGCCATTAAGCTGCAATTGCAGCAGCAGCAACTCCTTCCCATTGGCCGCAGCGCATGCTCATTCCAAGAGTCTCATGCAGCTAGCCACAATTGAGCCGTCGGCCAGCAGCAGCAGCAGTCGCCCCACTGGTGGTGGGGGTCCTGCTGGTGCAGCAGCAGCAGCTCCTGGCAGTTTTGAGGACGATTTTCAATTATCGAGTTCGGCGCCTGCGGTGCTCTTAAGCGGCATCTTTGAGCAGCGGCGTCCCAGTGACGTTCCGCTGGTCGAGCATTGCACCAATACACTGACAGCGTCTACGCTGCGCCTGTGCATGGACATGGAGACGCACGAGTCGCGCCATCAGCAACTGGAGCGTGGCCAGCGCAAGGCCAACAGTCATTCGTGTGGCCAGCTGTCCATATTGCTGCCGCCGGCTCCGGCCACGGCGCCAGTGCTGCCCGAGAATCCGTTTCGGTTTGGTTTTGCGGCAGCGCCATCAGCTGCAACGGCTGCCGCCGCTGGCAATAGCTTTGTCAGCTGCTTTGCGCCCATTGCGGAGCATGTTACGCCCACAACCATGCCCAGTCAGACGCCCATAGAGGCGCAGCTGGTGTACAATATACCCACCGTGCTGATAACTGGCACAGCTACAGTGACAGTGACAGGCAGCACAACAGCAAACAGGTCCACTAAAACTGACACAACTGCAGCAGACGCTGCAGCACCAAGCACAACAAAAAAAGCAACCACAGCGACAACAACAGCAACAACAGCAACAACAATAGCAACAATAACTTTGTTTAATACTACAGCAACAATGTCTGCTAATCAACCCATTACTAACCAATTGAATTCAATCGATCCCCTCTCAATTGACGCACCACAACAACCAACACCACCTCACACCAACACCAACACGAACACAATCACATTCGTTACGCACACAACCACAATGAACAATATCAACAACAACCACAACAACAACAACAACATCACCACAACGCCCCCGTCTTGTTGTACCAATACCATCGCTACAGATAGCAACGTTTCGGTCTCGGTATCGGCCTCGGTATCATCGGCCAATTCGTCCACATCGTCGCGTCGCCAAAGACACAGTATTGCCGGCCAGATGTCCTATATGAAAATGTTGGGTTTCGGTGGTTTTAGCAAAAAGATGGCCACCAGCGCGAATAGCCTTTTCAGTACGGCAGTTATAAGCGGCAGCTCATCGGCCCCGAATCTACGCGATATGATACCGGTATCATCATCCGGTGAGTACACTAACCCACCCTCACACACACACACACACACACACACATACACAACCAAACACATGGAGCCCCAATCCTGCTACAAATACACACACACACACACACACCAATACACGTAACTATACCAACTATACACACATGTAAACTACATTAAGAAAAATAATGCATGAACCGAGCCCCACCTTTAACTAGCTGTCCACAGATTACAATCGGAAGCGCAAATATACACATAGAAGTACATATATGTCAGTTACAAAATGAACTTAAATACTTAAAAACTATTCCGTTGTTGTACTGTAGTTCTACAACCGTTCCAAACTTTACAAGTTTAAAAATATTAAAAACTAGAAAAAAGACTATCTTCGGCACGCCGTAGATTAAATACCCTTGTAGACGTATGGTCTGAAAGTGATTTTAAGCAGACAGATTGTTACTACAGAAGTGATAAATCATTTGGATTTTGCATATATGTTAAGAAGATAATGAAGCTCATAACAGCAAAGAATTAAAGTTTACCATATAGTTTTCATAGAGCTAATAAATGCAAAGAACTAAAGTTTTCCATAGTTATATGATATAGGAATAAAGTGAGGCTATCATAAGTTTTTTATACACGAAAATACTCGAAAAATACTTTAACAAAAAAAAAAGAACTATGTAGCTGTTGATACAGATCAGGTATATATGTAGATATGTATACTATGGTGTCGGAGATGTGACAATATTATAGTGCCATCTACAAGGGTATAACAAAGGCATGCTTTTTACTATTTTTCAAGCACCTTTAAGAGCTTTTCAACAAGTCTTTACTTGAACTGTTTGCGAATTAGAGGCGCATTTCTTGTTACGCTTTCGACACAGCAACATTACTTAGTAGCTGCCTTTTAAACGGCAGCTACATTTATGTGTATGGTAGATACTCAGATTATTTATGAATATAATTTTCAACTTCTATATCGCTGATATCAACAAAGGAACATCCGTCTTAGACGACAAAAGGAGGTATAAGGTTATGTTGTTGTTAGAGATATAAACAATTATATTTTGCTCATTTTTACTTTTATTTTTCCCTTTTTCTAGTTGAAAAGTATTACTCGATACGATGAAAAAGAAAGTAAATAAATGGCCCTAAGAAGCAATCCAACTTATGTTGAAAAAATCCCATAAAAAAATAGAAAAAATACAAAACATAAAAGGAAAATTATATAAATTACACATTTAGTACAGATAATAAATGTATTTACCACTTGTATTTTATTAACCAAAAATAGAAAGTACTAAACAAAAACTCAGTATATAACTATTATATGGGAATTCTGAAGTAGTTCGGAGTTCTAGTTAGGAATTTAATGTACTATTCGTTGGTCGTATGACACGTTTTTGATATCCTTAAAGTACCTAATATCAAGTAGCTGCGTACAACGCAAACTCAGATTTGTTTTCTACACTGCACGAAACAAAAACAATTTGTTTAAGGAACCCTCCTAGCCTTTGTGTGGTATATTCACATACACGCACACATTCCACTAATACTCACATATTAATATTGTAATTAAATATGGGGCACATGTGATAATCCTGTAGCTCTCGTATTTACGCACAATCCGCTTCCATATTCACTTCCATTCCATCCACTTCTTCGAATACTAATTGTTTGATAGCTGAAGCGAGTGTTAAGCAATTTTAATCGGTTTACATATGTGCCCTGCGTTTAGGCTTTGGGGATGTGCCGCCGATCCGACCCCTGGAGACACTGCATAATGCGCTATCGCTGCGCAAGCTGGACAGCTTTCTGCAGGATATGATCTTAGCACAGATCTTTAAGACGCCGACTGGTTCGCCGCCACGCGTCCATGAGGGAACTGTCGGTAGTAACTCAGCATCGATATTGGCGACTGGAGTAGGTCAGCCTGTATCGGTATCTATACCATCGGATTCGATGGCCGCCTTCTCCTCGATGATAGATCAAAAGGATGGCGCCTTGTCGACACAGAAATTGGTCAGAGGTACGACCGCTCCATTGGCCGAGAAATGCGATCGCCCTGTAATCATCAGCGATTCCGACTCGACTGTGGAACCGCATCACCCAAATTCGCCAGCAAGGAGCGAGGAGCAGGTGCAGTCATCGGAATACGAGGATGCCAACGATGTGGCAATGAAAATCATTTTAACGGCACAAAAACAGCGTAAGTTCTCTAAGCGTAAGTCAAGGATTGGTTGGCGCACCTGAGATAGTGTCTGTGTTCAAAAATCATCTGATAATTAAGCATGCTCATTGGATTCTCTAAAGATTTCGATTAAAATGTTCTGTTCAAAATTTCCTATTCGCATAATTTTCGAGTGTTACCAATATTTTCATTATATATCTTTTCTTACTCTGCGTCAAAATGTTTTTGAGTTTCATCGATTATTCATACACTGATCAAGACATTATCGATAAAATCAATCGATAAATATGGTTTCTTTTTATTCTGTTTTCTTTTTCTGTATATATGTATATTTATTTTATTTTTTTAATTTTCAGTGGAAGTAACCAACACCTGATTGTTTGTTGACTATGGTTTGAGTGTTTCATTATCCAACACTGTTAATGTTCATAGAGATCTTAAATATATTTTATTATTGCGGAGTGATTTCAATTTAACATCTTTTAATTGATCAGTTTAAAATGAATATTTTCAACTGGGCTTAAATAATTGTAACTAGATCACTTAAGACGCAAATAAATAAATAAATATTGAATTATAAACCTTAGCATATACACCTTAACATAGTAAATACACTCTCGTGCATGCACTAGTCGCTCGTGGCGGCGCTCTCTTTGCTATAACGTATCACGTTTCATTATCGCACGCCTCTTTGGCTCTGTCTCTCTGTCTCTCTTATCGCTTGCCTTTTGAAAAGCTTCAGCACGCACTTCTACGCATTGAGAGTCTCTGACTCCTGCGCGCGCTCCCCCTCTCTCGCTCGCTCTTTCTTACACTCCCTTTCACTTCTTAACACTATCAATCTGTAATGCGAACAAAAAACTAACAACTTGCACACAACCCCAACGAATGGCAAACAAGTTTGGCCGCAAAAGCCACAGGACATTCTATCAAAGGACCAGGAAGAGCAAGAGCATGGGGATGATAAGCAGAAACTGGATTGGTGAGCGTGTTCTCTTTTTACAATACACAGGTATCTCAATTTTTGAACATCTCTACAGTGTTTTGAGCACTGTCGACATTCTGCTGGATGAACCGGAGGAACTACCCGAATTTGGGGCTATTAGCGAGGACAAAGTACAACGGGATGACGGCACCGGCCCCATCTATTTGAGGATCTGCGATGAAGCAGAGCCCAGCAGCTGCTGCCTAACCCCAGTCAGCCTTGGCGTTGATGACTTGGATCTCAGCATGGTGGTCAACAAGGGCTCCATGACGCTTTCCGTCGATGTGAGTGAGCGGGACCTAGCCAGTCAACCAAATTACAAAACTCTCCATTTCTCTGATATCGATATGTTATCGATTCCATCATATATTTCATTTCAGCGCATTATATTCTTTTAAAGAGCATAAGATTCCGATATTTTAAAGCACTAAAATGGGTATGAATTTATTATTTTTCTTTTTTGACGTTCCCATTAAATATGCGGGAGTGTACTTAACTTTTTAGTTTTTAAAATTCATTTTAATTAATTCAATCTATTTGTACGGGTGTAAAAATAGCTTCATTCTTAATGTTTAAATAACAAGTAAATTTGATCTAACCGAGAATGACCGGCTGGGAGGTTCCCTGTACTGAGCTTCTTTCTATACCCTAAATGTAAGGGCACTCTAGTCGAGAGTTTAAAATTTCAAGTCTAGCTCCGCCTAATGGTTCTGAGGTCACATGCGAACGTACAGTCAGACATACGAACATGGCTAGTTCGACTCGGATGTTGGTGCTGATCGAGAATAAATATACTCTTTGGTGTCGGAGAAGCCTCCTTCTGCCCATTACATGCATTTTTTTCACAAGCCCAATATGCCTATGGTTTTTTGCAGGCTATCAAAAAGAATTTAAATGATTTAATCTCTACTTGTCCGTACTCTTCCTTTGCAGGGCTTTGATGATGACGACGAGGATGGCACTGCGTCTGCAGTGACAACACCTTCGCTACTTGCCGACACGGAACCTATATTGGAAACATGCTACTGTTGTCCGACACATGCCATTGCACCACCGGAGGTTGACACTGAAGATCCAAAGTATTGCTTTGCGCTCCCGGTGCACGTAACACAGGCGTCGCCGGAGCACGCACGTCCAGCCGTGCGACGCGCTCACGATCCAATCTCGCCGCGCATGCAGAAGCATATCAGTGTGTTTGAGTGCGCCGGGACCAGTCCGGAGGCGAGTGCGCTGCATGCGTCCATCAATTTGCCGGCGGCGGCGCAACAGTTGCGCCAGGACGCGCGTCTGCGTAAGTTTGAGAATCTGACGCAGTCCACTTCGAATTCGAATTTCCCATTTGAGAGTAATACACTGAAGCGGGTGCCACTAGTCAGCACCAAGGATGACTATGCAAGTGTTTCGCACACCCAGAGCTGCATTAATTTAAAGAGCAGCGGTGCCGGCTCCGGCTCTGGCTCCCTCATCTATGGGTCGCCGCAGCATCACCGCGAGAGATCGCGCGAAAAGGAGCGACAGCATACCACTGCAGCCGGCTGCAGCTCCGGCCCGGCCAACTTTGATCGGTTGCCCAATGCATTGTCCGAATGCTGCTCGCTGGACCTGGATGCTGGCTGCAGCACATCATCACCAACTGCCTCGGTGCCGCATCCGGGCGCACTAATTGTCAAGGAGAAATTCATAGAGCCACCGAAGCGCGGAATAGTGTGCGGCTATCAGGACAAGACGCAGTCCATGGACGCTGATTTTCTCTGTAACGAGTTTCTGCTAATTCCGGCACTCGCGCCGTCTATGGATGTGGCACAGCCCAAGGAGCGCTCGCCGGAGCCGGAGCCGGAGCTACAGAAGCCCAAGTGAATTCATACTTGGCTTATTATCATAATCGAATTGTGTTCGTGTCACGTCTATGTTGTAATCAAAATTGTTGTTGTTGCACTTGCATTGCTGTTATCTAAATAATAAAAATTCTATTTTCTGCGTCCCAAAACTTGTCTATCAAATCAATCAACTGAGCTTCTGTGCAACAATTTATCCCTCTCTTTTCCCAGATGCTTCCTCCTATCCCTCGTAATGGCTGGTCATTCACAAATAATGTGCATATTTGGTTCGTCTTTCTTCAAACAGAGCTTACACTCTGCGTCGGGAAAGAAGCGCATTTTCTTACAATTTACAATAATGGGGATTGAGATGTTTAAGTAATACGCCTCGTTGGTAGGCCGTCGGGGTGTAGCCTTCGGAGGCGCCTCTCACTGATGGGGTCAGCCAGGCGGCCGCGTTCGGATGCTGCAGCAGCTTGTCGGCGTATCAGCTGCTATAGAAGTTTCGCTAATCTCCGACCTTTGTGAGGCGGAGATCGCGTTCGATGGCGTCGGTTGTCACGTACCATGGCAGGCTGGCAACCTTGCGTGCTGCCTTGGCTTGGACCACTCTTTTGCGACACAGCTGGTGTTCTGAAGCCGTGCCCCAAACTTGGATCGCAGATGTTCAGATAGGCGTTACCATCGTTTTGACTAGCAGTGCCTTCGTGGAAACATGCAGCTTGCTTTGGGGCTTTAGTAGCTAGTCGAGCCTTTGAAGCCTTCTCAAGCATTTTGCTCTCGGTGCTGCAATGTGGAGCACCCATATGAGCCGTCGGTCCATGTGGACGCCCAAGTAACAGAATGAGCTGGTGTGTTTAATGGTTCCTCCATCGAACCGTAGCCCCTGTCAACTGTCTGGGCGCAGCGTGAAAGTGACGCAAGCGGAATTGGCACAGTTTATGGCGACGTTCCAGTTAGCTGTCCAAGTTTCGACCTGCAGCAGCCAGTCCTGCACTGCATTTGTTGCAGCTTGCAGATATTTGTGCGAAGCTAGGAAGGCAGTGTCATTCGCGTAAGTTGCCACAAGCAGTCTCGCGGGGCTGAAGGCTGCACTGCTTTTCCCTTGTACAGCATCGGACCGAGGACGCTTCCTTGTGGGACACCTGATTTAATGCCTTTGCTAGCCGACCTTTGGTCTTTACCGGCCACGTTGAAGTTGCGTCCTGCCTGGAATGAGCTCAAGATGCTGAAATATGGCGCAGGGAATAGGGCTTTGATCTTGGAGAGAAGGCCATCGTGCCAGACCTTCTCAAACGCCTGTTGAGTCTGTGAGTCCCGCGAGTAATCGGTTTGTGAAGGTCTGTTTACAGAACATCTTTGAACTCAGGGCTTGGTTTGAAGCTTGGCTTTTCAAACAATTACGTTCAAATTTAGAAGTTGAAAGAATTCGTAAGCGCTCTGTCAAAACAAAGGAATGTTATGAATGAATGTTTTCAGTTTAAAACAAGCAAAAGTGCTCATATTGGGAGTGTCCGATTAAGAGTTAGCCTGCTCCTACAAACATTCTAGCTTTCTCCTATATACACATGCACAAAAACATGCACACACATACACACACACGCAAGCGTGTGCTTTATCTTCCTTGCATTCAGATTTAAATTCGAAATTTTATTTTCCAATTCAAATGTGTGCACCGAAGGCCAAGAGTATACTACAAAAACTACGTTTTTTTACCAGTGTGGCGGTAAAGGGGGAGTTATCTTAAAAGAATAAAATCCTTGATTTTTCTACACTTTACAAGCATTCTACATACCATATTTTGTGTCTCAACCTATTTCAACCGGTTTAGGTTTTTTGTTTGTGTTTTGTTATCGAAGAACAATTTAAATCTCTTTAGTCAACTTCTAAAGCTTTATAAATTTAAGATAATAATAAAAATGATGTTTATTAGATTGCTCAGCTCAACTCAACTTATGATCTCAGTAATAAAAATAATAAAAATAATGATGATGTTGTTGTTGTAGATGTTGATCGCGGGGCCGAGTGAAAGTGAGATAAACGATGGAACAAGGCATTGGAGCACTGTCAACGACCGCTCAGCCCAGAGCCCAAATGGCAGTGGGAGTCGGCAGAGTGGGAGAGACGCAGTCAGAATGTGTGAGACGCAGCCGGTTTTCGAGAAACGTGGCCAACGTTTTCACTTGTCAGCTATATGGTGACTATATGTAGACGCATGCATTAACCTCGATCCACATTCGATTGCAAATTTCAATTTGTATTCGTGTTCGTATTCGTGTTTGTATTCTAAATTGCGTATGCAAGGCATGCGGCCAGTCAACATCACCCACTGATGAATGTGGCCCTCACTACACACCCACACACACACACACACACACACACACACACACACACAGTTACATACAAGTACCAACACGAATACGAATGGGAGCACCAGTACGAGTAATGAGCTGCAACGTTCCACTGCATGCTGATCGGGGGGCGAAGATAACCCAGTACTTAGCCGCAAAAACAGTCTTAATTTATCTGCAACCAACTGTTTGCCTATGCAAATAAGTAAGCTTTGTACACAGATAAAAGATATAATATGTTTAAGTTGGTTTTTTGCTATAGCCTTCCTTTGAAGGTAGCATATATATTCTTGTACAGTGGATGTGGTGACACGCTTCGAACAAATAAAAAAGTTGTTTAACCTTATACTGGCTTGAAATCCTATCTGGTTTTGGTATAATTGCCAGGACTGTAAGCCGTACAATGTTGTTGCTGGTTCGGTTTACGGATCGAACCGACTTACTGCCCTGCGGTTCGGTTCGTGAAATCTCAAAACCAGGTTTTGTTTCAAAGCTAATTGCGAAACGAATATTTTGTAAGGTTAGGTGCATAGACGAAAAACATAAATTTAAGTTCTGGGCTCGAACCGGTTTGATTAAAAAGCGGTAAATGCATATATAATACTTGTTATTAATCCCGAAGCTCAAAAATTGAAGCAATCAATCTTATTTTAAAAGAAGCTTATCCATTAAGAAAATATTTTAAGTGCACAAAGTTATTTTAAAATATCCAAAATCAAACAAAAATAGTTTTGGATCTATTATTTAACTGGTTCGGTTCAGGCTCAAGCTCGGCTGTTCTTATCTTACTAATCCCGATTTAAGGCTTAGTTCAGGTTAAGCCAAATATTGAAAAAGCGATTGGAACAAAATCAGTTTGGAGGTTTGCCTATACAACCAAGCATTTGGCTAATTAATGTTATTAGAGGCTCGGTCTACTGTTTGGCGTTTGGGCAAGGTGCTGCGCAGGTTCGTTGCCTAAGTCTTTTGTATTGCTCGATGCTGCAGAACGCAACTCAACAGCTGCCGCCATTGCTCTCATTTTTTGTTGTTTGTTGCGGTTGATGTAGTTGTTGTTGTTGTTGTAGCTGTTGTTTTCATTTGCATCAGCAATTTTCATTTTTGGTGTGCACCTTTAACAACTGCAATTAGCATTTTACCCAAGTTACCCGCATGTGGAAAAAGTTTCCACTCAATTTAGTTTTTTGTTTAATTTTGCGCGCCAAGTGAAAAGCGAGCCTCAGTTCAGCTGTAACAAGAGTAGAAGTGTGCCCATCACACACACACACACAAGCACACCATTTTATATACTAATATGGATATGCATTAGCCGTGCGCTGTTTGGTATTTGGTTGGGTGCGGGTGCCAGCTGTGCCAAAAAAGTTTCGCCATGGGGAAAGTTCTAGCTTTATTTCTGTTTGACTTTGCCAATTTATGCAAATGCGCGAGCACCACATCAAATACACACGCATTTAAAATATGTGGTAATATATGCACGAGATAAAAGTGAGATGAATATTAGCTCTAATCTTTTTATTATGGATATATAGGCACACGATCGACTGCCTGTAAGCTTACCTGATTTATGTAAATAAATGTAGGCTAAGATTTAAAACTATGTGTTCTCATTAATATAGACAAAGACCCCAATGACACGAGGTCGTCGTCTGCCGCTTTTATTTCTAGCAAAGGAATGCTCTAAAGTTATTCAAATAAGCTTGGCAGAGTTTCCAGGGATTCATACTTAAGATCAAACTGATGTTTTAAGGATGAATTTGGTCAAAAAATGTTTAACTCAATGAAGAAGAGGCATTTCGAGGCATTAGTTCGATTTGAGACTTCAATAAATGAGGTTGTATCTTTTTCAAGTTCGACTAATTAAGTGGTGAAGATGTTATTAAATTTTGCATATTATTACAGGCAGTACAAATATCAAAATGGAGTCAGGTGTCCAAAAGTGAAATATTCTCAAGGTGTGTATACAATGCGAGAGATAACATACCCAGTTTGGTGCAGCTCTCTCTTATTATTTTCGAGTTATGTTTAAAAATTATGTCTCAAAATCGATATTCATCAATATTAAATAAGAAAGGAAATAACGCAAAAAAAAAATATAGATTCGTTTTGCGGATGGTATATAAATATCTATACTTGAAATTAATTTAGGTCTCTAGCTATCGTAATTGCCGAAAGCGACGCTTTTGCTTTGCAGCTACCTTTTTGTTGTTGTCAGGGTTGTACAGTTCAGCCACCTAATATGTAGATAGTGTGGATAGTATATTAATGTACAAGGTATTAGTCAGGTATACGATATCCAATGAATATGCATTAGACAAGCGTGTCGACGGCCGCTCCTTCCATTTGCATAGTAGAAAATTTGTAAGCAACAGCAAATATTTCTCTAAGCATTTATTTGTCATGTCTATGGCAAAGTGCAGAAATTCAAAAAAAAAAAATAAAAAGAAGACCCAACATAAACCTAAATTTAAACTGATTTTAAGTTTGGACAGAGTCAGAGATACGACAGCGAGTGGCCAGATGCCAGCTTCACTTTCTTTTTCACTCGAAATTTGACTGAAAAATCGATGAGTGCTGATAGCAGATGTTGTTGTTGTTACTGTAATTGTTGTTGTTGTTGTTTGACTGCTTGTTTGCCGTTTGCTGTTTTTTTTTTATTTTTTTATTATTATTTTGAAGCTATGCATATTTAATAGATTTCTTTGTTGACTGCGGTGCCAGCACCCGCACAGTGGGAAAGCAGCTCAAGTGGGCAGCAGCTTGATAATGATGATAATGATGATTGCTTGTGTGAGAGAGTCAAACGGACGAACAGACAGACA